TGCATGAGTTCATATCGGCACAAGGAACCAAACTTTGAAACAAGAGTAAGTGTTTCTCTGCTACCATTCCCTTTCTGCTTGAAGAAATTAGGTCTCTTCACATGCCCAGTTCTAAGAGATAAGTGTGTGTGAAAGCCGTCATTCACCTAGCTTGTTGGGAACACAAAGATTCTTTTCAGTTGCAAACTCCACTCCATACATATATATGGGGAGGTACAAGCTCCAACTCGATTTTACAGTGAAAACTGCAGGAACTTACAACCTGCACTAAGAAACAGACTGAGAAACCAGAGTAGTATTTCTCCTGTAACATGCTCCCTTTATGATAGATGAACGAACGTTTCTCCACATGATCAGTTCTGAGAGATAAGTGTGTGTGAAAGCCGTCCTTCACCTAGCTTGAAGGGAACACAAAGTTTCTTTTAAGAAGCAAACTCCAATACATACATATATAAGGGGAGGTTCAAGCTGCAACACTGTTTTACAGTTAAATCTGAAGGTACTTCAAATCAGCACTGGGAAAAAAAGAAACCAGAGTAAGCGTTTCCCCTGCCAACCGTTCCCTTTGTGCTAGATGAACGAAAATCTCTACAAATGCTCAGTTATGAGAGATAAGTGTGTGTGAAAGCCGTTCTTCAACAAGCTTGTTGGGAACACAAAGTTTCTTTTCAGTTGCAAATTCCACTGCATACATATATATGGTGAGGTACATGCTCTAACACGGTTTAACTGTGAAAACTGCAGGAACTTCAAACCGGCCCTAGGAAACAGACTGATAAACCAGACTATGTGTTTCTCCTGCAACCCGTTCCCTTTGTGCTGGGTGAACGAACGTCTCTCCACATGCTCAGTTCTGAGAGATAAGTGTGTGTGAAAGCCGTCCTTCACCTAGCTTGAATGGAACACAAAGTTTCTTTTCAGTTGGAAACACCGTTACATACATATATATGGGGAGGTCCTAGCTCCAACTCGGTTTTACAATGAAAACTGCAGGAATTTCAAACTAGCACTATTAAATGTTCTGAGAACCCAGAATAATTGTTTCTCATGCAACCCGTTCCATTTGTGCTACATGAACGAACGTCTCTACACATGCTCTTTTCTGATAGATAATTATGTGTTAAAGCCTTCCTTCACCTAGCTTGTTGGGAGCACGTTTTCTTTCTATAGGTATCTACACTACATACATATATATGGGGAATTCCTAGCTCCAACCCACCTTTACAGAGAAAACTTCCTGACATTCTAACCGGCTCTAGGAATAGATACTGAGAAACCAGATTTTTTTTTCTACTACAATCCATTCCGTTTTTGCTAGATGTACTAACGTCTCACCACATGCTCTATTCTGAAAGATAAATGTTTGTGCAAGCCATCAACGACCTAACTTGTTGGGACCATGTTTGTTTTCAGTGGGTAACTACACTACATTCATATATAATGGGAGGTAATAGCTCTAATTCAGTGTTACAGTGATAACTTCATGAACTTCAATCTGGCACGAGGAAAACATACTGAAAATCCAGTAGAATTCTTTCTAGTAGAAACCATTCCATTTATGCTTGATGAACGAACGTGTCTCCATTTGCACTATTCTGAGAGTTAACTGTGTGCGAAAGTCTTCAATCAGCTAGCTTGATGGGAACGCACAGTTTCTTATGAGTGGTTAAATTCACTACATTTGTATAAAAGTGAAGGTACTAGTTCCAACTCTGATTGACAATGAAAACTGCATGAACTTCAAACCAGCACTAAGAATCATACTGAGAATGCAGTGTAAGTGTTTCTACTGCAAATCATTCCCTTTATGTTAGACAAACAATGCCTCTCCACATTCTCAATATTCAGAACTGAATGAGTGTTGAAGCCATCCTTCACCTAGCTTGTTGGAAATCCAGAGTTTTAGTAAATGGAAACTATGCTCCTTTCATATATATAGGGACTTACTAGCACGGACTCGGTTTTACAGTGCCAAATCGGCTTTAAGAAACAAGCTGACAACTCACAGAATGTGTTTCTGTATATCACTTAACCTTCAATGCTGTATAAATAACGCCTCTCCATAGGCTTACTTCTGACACCTGAATTTGTTTTGGAGACGTCCTTCACCTAACTTGTTGGAATCCCAAAGTTTCTTGTATAGGGGAACTACGCTACTTACATATGTAAGGGGGGGGCACTCGCTCCAACTCCGTTTTCCAGATCAAACCGCTTTTACATTGAATCTGGCGTAAGAAACATGCTCAGAAATCAGAGAATGTGAGTCTAGAAGTCCCTCTGCCTTTTGTGCTGGATGAAAGAAAGCCTCTCCACATGCTCAATTTTCAGGAATGTAGGAGTGTGGAAGCCGCCTTTCACCTAGCTTGTTGGAAACCCAGATTTTCAGTCCAAGGTAAACTTCGCTGCTTTCATATATATGGGGACGTCCTAGCACGAACTCAGTTTTTCACTGCAAACCGCTTTTACTTGAAACCGGGTTTAAGAAACATACTGAGAAATCAGAGAACGTGTTTGTACATCTCACTCTGCCTTTTATGTTTACTGTGAAATGCTGGTTTCAAAGAAAATTCACTTTGCTTTGGTAAACTGCTTTGAATTGAGTTCCTGCGCTTTGATATGTAAATTGGGTAGTTCCCGTATTCCAGAAACTCTGGTTTTCCAACATGTTAGGAGAAGGACGTCTCCAACACAAATTCAAATGTCAGAAGTGATCTTGTGGAGAGGCGTTCTTTCATCCAGCATTGAAGGATAAGTGACATACGGAAATAGCCACTCTGTATTCTCAGCAGGTTTCCTAATGCCAGTTTCTAAGGAAGAGCATTTTGCTGTGGAAAACCGCTTTTGAGCGAGCGCCTCTGCTTAAATATGTAAGCAGCGTAGTTTCCCTAGACCAGAAACCCTTGTTTTCGAAGAAGTTATGTGAAGAATGGCTCCAACTCACATTTGGATGTCAGAAGTGAGCATGTTGGAAGGCGTTCCTTCTTACACCATTGAAGGTTAAGTGAAATACTGAAACACTCACTCTGATTTCTTAGCATGTTTCTGAAATCCGTTTCAAGTAAAAACGTTTTGCAGTGGAAATGCGAGTTGGTGCTAGATCGTTCACATATATATGAAAGCAGCGTTGTTTCCCTAGTCCAAAAACTGTTGGTTCCCAACGAGCTAGATGAAGGACGGCTTCCATACATATACAGATTTGAAAATAGAGCATGTGGAGAGGCCTTATTTCTCTCAGCATAAAAAGCAGAGTGACATGTAGAAACACATTCTCTGATTTCTCAGCATGTTTACTAACACCGGTTTCAAAGTAAAAGTTGTTATCTGTGGCAAACCGTGTTGAAGCGAGGGCCTGCCCTTAGTCATGTTAGTAGCGTAGTTCCCCTAGACCAGAAACACTGGGTTTACTGCAAGTTAGGTGAAGGACAGTTCCAACACACATTCAGCTGTCAGACGTGAGCATGTGGAGATGCGCTCTTTCATCCAGCATTGAAGGTTAAGTGACATACACAAACATTTACTCTGATTTCTCAGAATGTTTCGCAAAGCCGGTTTTAAGTAAAAGTGGTTTGCATAGTAAAACCGAGTTGGTGCTAGTACGTTGCCATATATATGAAAGCAGCGTAGTTTCCGTAGTCCAGAAATTCTGGGTTCCCAACTAGCTTGGTGAAGGACGGCCTCCACACTTACAGATCTGAAAATAGAGTATGTGGAGTGGCATTATTTCATCCAGCATAAAAGGCAGAGTGACATGTAGAAACATATTCTCTGATTTCTCAGCATGTTTACTAACGCCGATTTCAAAGTAAAAGCTGTTTGTGTGGAAAACTGCGTTGGAGCGAGTGCCTCCCCTTAGATATGTAAGCAGTGTAGTACCCCTAGACCAGAAACTCTTGTTTTCCAACATTATAAGTGAAGGACGTCTCCAACACTCATCCAGTTGTCATAAGTGAGCATGTGGAGAGGCGTTCTTTCATCCAGCATTGAAGGTTAAGTGACATACTGAAACACTTTCTCTGATTTCTCAGCATGTTTCTCAAAGCCGCTTTCAAGTAAAGCGGTTTGCAGTGGAAATGCGAGTTGGTGCTAGGATGTCCCCAAATATAAGAAAGCAGCGTAGTTCCCCTAGTCCTGAAACTATGGTTCCCAACAAGTTAGGTGAAAGACGGCTTTCATACATATACAGATTTGAAAATAGAGCATGTGGAGTGGCGTTCTTTCATCCAGCATTGAAGGTTAAGTGACATACAGAAACACTCTGATTTCTCAGTATGTTTTTCAGAGCCGGTTGCAAGTAAACGCGGTTTGCAGTGAAAAACCGTTTTGGTACTAGTGTATCCCCATAGATATGTATGTAGCGTAGTTTCCCTACCCCAGAATCTGTGGGTTCCCAATTAGCTAGTTGAAGGACGGCTTCCAAACTCATACATATCTGAAAATTGAGCATGTGATGTGGAGTTCTTTCATACAGCATAAATGGTAGAGTGACATATAGAAACACTAACTGATTTCTCATCATGATTCTGAAAGCCGGTTTCAAGTAAAAGCTCTTTGGAATGGAAAAGCCACCTGGAGCTTGTGCCTCCCCTTATATAAGTAAGCACCGTAATTCCCCGAGGCCAGAAACTCTGAGTTCTCAAAAACCTAGGTGAAGATTGGCTTCCACTCACATATGTTTCCAAAATGGAACAAGTATAGAAGCATTCCTTTATCTCACCTAAAGAGCAAGGCTACACCTCAAGCACTTACCATGATTTCTCTGCATGTTTACTTGAGTAGATTTAAAGCTAATAGCATTTATCACTCAGAAACCTAGTTAGAGCTTATACCTGCTGTTATATATATCGGTCGGGCAGTGCCCTAACACCACAATTCTGTGTTTCCAGCAGTGCTGGTGAAGGATGGCTTCCACACACATTCGGTTTTCTCTCCTCCTCAATCTTCTGCCTAGACATCAATGCAAGTTGTGTATTGTGGAAGCCAAGGAAATTTTTTTCATTTAGGATCAGCCTCGGAGAAAACTAAGACCTGCTTCTGCTTCTTTTCCCTGCTAGATTTCCTCTTGGTGCATTACCAATCCTCAAGAGTGAGTTCCTTTAACCAAGTAATTATTTCAAAAAAATGTGCAGGTTTCCATAGGGCCATTACTTCTTTTATATTCTTGCTTTTTAATACCTCTCTTTCATCTCTATCTCCAGGTGTCTTATTTCTATGTCCTTTGGTTTGGGCTGATGGCTAATCAGCATTAGTGTAGAAATTGTTGCTTGATATTACTGATCTATATTCTTTCCATGGATATTTGATTTATCATTGGATTTTAGGGAAGATAGTTTCTTTAAAAAAAATTCTTGTAAGTAACTTATGGGGGATTCTGATTCTCTTGGTCTAGAATTATAATGCTTAATTTCTTAATAAGTGATACTTTCATAGAGCTCAAAATTCCAAAGGTTTGAGTGTCACCACTGTCCCGAAGCCTTTCAAACTTTTCTTTGGGGGCACTCAGAACTGAGTGTGTGTGTCCTTCTGGACTTAGTTTAGCCTGAAACGAGCAAAGGCAAGTACCCCCCATTTTACACAAACAACAGACGACTTTCACAAATTGAAACCTTTAAAAATATATGAACTGTAATGTAGAATTTTACAAGAGGCAGTGACCTCCAGGATGTCAGCAATGGAGGCAGAACAGTTGGAGGGACAGCAGGTGCTCGTGCTCAGTGGCTGAAGTCACACAACATCCACGGCCACCTCTGGTTAATCTTATAGAGTTGGTGCTGTGTGCAGGCTTTCAGGGCTGTGCCCCCCTCTCCACCAAACATATATATTAGGAAAAGTGATGAGCCTCAGTATGAGAAACAATAAAGAATTTGTAGGGGAAATTGAGTTTATTGTTTTTAAAAAGAAAAATTAGCATCCAGGTAGTTTAATTTCAGCTCCTAATAGACTGATGTGTTGACATTCACAAGGATGCGTAAACACATGCAAGATCATGGGGCAGGACCAGAGACTCTGAAGCAGCAATCACCACACACAACTTTCACTGCTGTCCTTGACAGCCTTACAGAATTACTTGAAAAAGAAAAGGCCATAGATGTAAAATATCATCATTTTGAGAAACCAGTTCTTTTGAAATCTTATATACTAATGTAACTGAATTGGATAAAGAAATGCTAAATGTGTAATAAAGTATCCAAAGAGGTAATGATTACTGAAAACACCACAAATTGAAGAGGACCACATCATAATGGGCATATATATTTTAATAATCTGGAAGAATCAGTTCAGCAGTTTATTCAAGACATCTAGAGATGATGTCAAAAGGGGGTGTCCTTGGATAGCTTTTTGTGAATGTTAGAGTGAAGTCACTGTCAGGTACACAAATTTAGTTTAAAAGCAAAAGGTGAAACAGATTTCTTTTCAAAAATCTATTGTGTCTGGTTAGAAATCATCAAATCCATGGGTCAAGGGAAGGAAAAATAACCTAGTGACCACGTGACTGTTTCAGGAGCTGGTAGTAAAATGACAGTTGACAATTGTGTAAATTAGATATGATCTTGATGTCCAACTGACCCAAAGATTTTTAGTCCATGTGCCAAAAATATATCAAGGAATAAATAGTGATCTATGTTTTGTCCGCTCTTTTATCCCCCCTTCAATCCTGCACTGTGATTGGGAAACTAAGAACTTCTACTGCAGGGAGGAGATTTTCAAAAATGGAGTGTCCCCCGACCGAGAAATTAAAGAAAATTTAGCCATACACTTTAGAGACACAGGGAGATCT